TGTTGCAAGATGTATATGTATTAATTGTAGTTGCTAGTCAAGGAGAAATAAAGATGACGTGATATCATAAACTTGACCATAAATTGAAAAGAGACTTAAAATTATTTGCACAACATAATTTCTTATTCAAACCGAAATCAATAAGTCTACATAGTTGTAAATACTATGTGATGAATAAGTAATATAGATTAATAACCAAATACTATATTATTTGATTCACTCTTATGCAAAAAGTCACCAAAAATATCTCTAACAAAAAAAAATACTATAATTATTCTTGGAGACGGAATGTGCACCATAATTACATGTGGAACTTGATTTGAAGAACATGGAAACTAGTTGAAGTAATGAGCCCTCCATATTGGGGGCTCATTACTTCAATTAAGCTAATAAAAAATAATTAAGATAATAAAAAATTATTTAACCTTTTTTTTGCATAACTTCAGGGGTTCTCTAAAAAATATAGCAAACAAAATAACTTCTAAAGTTGAGACTAAGAAAAATGTATAAACCAATGCTTCCATAAATTTGATTGTGGTTTACTATATATAACTTTCATACCTGTTTATTGGGGTTCATTTCTAAAATAAAAAGGAAAAAGAATAAAGAAGAATAAATGCAATGATTCAAATCAAGATTTATCTAGTTTTTTTATGTGTAAAAAGAAACTAAAGTGTTTGAAGATAGTAAATAATGATATATCATTAAAGACATGTTTGATCAAGTTTTTTTTTAGCAATTAATGAAAATGATTTATTACGTAATTAATCAATTATTATCAAATACACTAATGAAGATATGAAAAGAAAAACTAACATATTACTCTCTCTGTGTAGTGTATGGATGTCTTTCATACACCAATGAACTAAAAAATGAATTAGGAAGTGATAATACTACTAGAAAACTATTATTTTACAAATAGGTGGAAAAATAAAAGGGGAGATTATTTTTAAGTTAAATTTGAATACAAAGGAAAAAAAAAAGAAAAAAGTAGATGAAAAAAAAAACATGGATACCATCATAATTATTAGACTATATGTTGATAAGACAATACATATTGTCTACTTTAAAAAGGAGGTGAATTATCTATTAATAGTTACTTATCTCTCAAAGTCTCTATTAAGTAACTATTTAATTAATGTTAATATTTTTTTTCTATATATTTCTTTTGATTATTTTTATGTTTTCTATGATTGCGGTTTATTCTTTCTTGTAGCCAACCAATTACAATTTTTTTCTTAATATTTTCAATTTAACATAGGGTAAAGTTTGTTTTGCAAATCATGTATCTATTAGAATATGCCACACAAATTGGTATGCAAACCATGTATTTGTTATAATTCCTAAATCACAAACTTGGGTAATTTAGTGGTGGTTTCCCAAAATATTGTGAGTTGTGTTACGACTTTTTTAAGCATAAAATATAAAAACATTGATCCAAAGTCTCCATCAAAGAATGATATTAATATCGTTGATGATACATTAATCGCGAATAATAGGTATATTTTTAGGGAATACACGTGTAACAGAAGTTAAATTTTTATTTAGAAAATGAAGTTTCATTAAGAAAAATTAATTTTTATATTTTAATATGATGAAGCTGAATGGAATTATTATTTTCTACAATTTTATTTCCTTTTTAATTTTATTTAAAATTATATAATTGAATTGATGAAGACTCACCTTCTCATTTATTTAATTTTTTTTTATCTTATATTATATATTTTAAAAGATGGATAGCTAATTTTTTTATTTATTAGTATTTTTAATTATATATTTATTATTCGTTTTTAATTATGGATAATAAATAGAACTTTTTTCTTTTTTTTAATATACGAAGTGTTTTAAAGAATTGATAATTATAATTTGCTTATCTATCATTTCCTATTTTCTACTAAAAGAAATGCATTTTATATTTCTATTTATTTATTATCTATTAATTCAATAAGAAAAAAATCATAAAAAAGAAAAAATAATAACACTAAAATTAATTCATTATAATTTATCCTTTTGTTTAAAATTCCATTATTCATAACCTACTGCTTATAAAATCAAATTCTATTTCACAATATGTTATATCAATTATAATATGTATATATAATTTATTAGATCAAGCTTAACTTGTCAACCAAATCTATTAATAAAATAAATTTATCAACCACTAAATAAATATAACATCTTTCAATATAATATTTTCGATATGAAAAAAATCATAATATTTTTTAAAAAATTTCTCAAAACAGAGACGTGACCATAGTTACGATTACAAACATAACTTTAAATTTTTTTATTAATATTATATTATTTTATATTCGTAATCTTATTTTTAAATATATCGGTTATTTTTTATTCGTAAATATTTAACATTATATTTGAAATAAATTTAAGATAAGATTATTAAAATTTTAAATTAATTTTATGTGAGTGATTCTTTTTAACGATAATTAAGAATAAAAAACAATTGAATATATACTTCTTTTGTTCTTTCTGTCTTTGTGATGTGAGAGAGAAATGTGATTCAAAAGTCTCATTATTTTGATTTTCATTAACAGTTTCTTGTAAAAAAAATAATAAAATAAAATGAAGTGAACGAATGTGGATGGAATTTAGGTTTCTAATTAATACTTCACTGTCGTTGTTATCTGATTTTATATTTGAATTCATGTTTTACCCTCGTTTTTATTTAATTTTATATTTAATATTAAATTTTAAAATATTAATATTTTTAAATTACTTATTTTTTTCTTAATTATATATAAAATTATTTCTAAATCAATCATATCCATTATTCCAATAAATTTTTATCAATTTATTTATTTAAATAAATTTATTTATTATTTTGATGTAATTTTTCTTTTCCATCCTCATAAATTTTTATATTTTTATTATATCCTTGTTTATTTATTTTTTATATCTCACATTATTTTTTTCTCTCCTCTTTTCCGAAATAAAATTACATTTTCAAAAATTAACATTGAAATTAAAATGATATTAACTAATTATTTAAAATTATAATGCTAAAAAATAATTAATTATGATAAAGTAAATAATTAATTTAAATTAACTATTCATCTAATTAAAAATATATATAATTTTAATCAATTACAAATATTTTTATTTAATAATTTAATCTATTTATAACTATATTGAGTATAGCTAGTTAGTCAGATTATATAATTTTAAAAAATGATTATTAAAAATTACTTCAAAATAAATATTAATAGTCAATTATATAATTTAAAAAATATTTATTAAAAAAGTTATTCTAAAATAAATATTTTTTTAAAATAATTATAACATAACAATATAATATTGATAATACTTCAAAATTATCATATAATATTTTTGAAAAATATAATATATTAAATTATAATATTTCTGAAAATTTTAAATATTTTTTTATAAATAATAAAAACTTATTTTATCAAATTTAAATATAATATTTTAAATTAGAAGAATAAGATGGAGTAGAAAAAAAAGAGGAGAAATAAAAATAATAAAAATGAGATATAAAAGAGTAAAAAATGTAAATGAAGAAAAAGAAAAATAAAGATATAAATGAAGAAAGAGAAAAAAATTGTTTTATGTTAAACGAATTTATTTTCATTACTAAATTTTTTGAGAGTGTAAATAACTTTATAAAAATTTTAGTTAAGTATTTTTTTTTAAATATATTATTAATGAGATTTTTTTATATTTTACTTTTTTTCTACCAATTTTCTTTTTTAATTTTTTCAATTAATCTTTTATTTAATTATTCTCTTCATTGGTTTTATCTTCTTTAACATTTCCTTGATCTATATATTTAATTTAATAAACAAAAATTTAATTTTTCTTCTTTTTTTATTATTTTTTAAATATTTTAAATTAATCTTAATAATACATAATATTATTTTATTTCTATATTATCTTTTATCATATTTTCTAGATTTTATTATTCTCATTTATCACATATTAAATTTCGTTTTAATAAAATAATTATATTTTGAAAAATTAAAAAAATTACTAATTAAAACTTTTATTATCTTGCATTACATAAAAATTAACTTTTTAAATATTTTCTTATAATTTATATATTTCATATTATCATTATTTTAAGATAATTTAAAAAATAATTAATTTTTATATATAATCAAATATTTGAATATAATATTATAATATATAATAATGATAATAATATTATTATTATTATAAATATTTTATATAAATATAAAACAATAATTAAATATTTCTTTTTTATATATTTTTTAATATAAATATAATAAATTAAATATATATTTAATTAATAATAATTTAACAATAATAAATTATAAATATTTATTTTTATATAAAAATAAAACATAAATAATATTAAAATTAATTTATTATATATAATTATTTTTTAAAAATAATATAAAATGAGAATGGTCAATGAAAAAGTCTAACATCAAATAACAAGACGAGGATTTAACTTTTTATTTTGTATATCTCTTTTACAGTCTTTTTAAGCAATGACAAATTTATATTTCCAAAAGTGGAATCTAAACAATATTAGAAATGATTAATTTGTGTTTAAATTTACATAAATGGTAGATTGAGTCTTTATAAAATGTATTAGGTTGACAAAGTTTGTCTGAACTGAATCATTTTTATTTCACTTTTACGTAATTGAAGGGAAAACCCATTAGAAGGGGCAACATTGATATTTCAGAAGTCAAGCTTAGCAGATATGACCAATGACAAATCACAATTATAAACAAACTCTGTTATTTTTATAATCATTCCACCGATATTGTTCTGTGCTTGCTCTCTTCATTTTCACACACACCTTCTTTCACTTTTCCTCGCCACTTGTCACTACTTCTCTGCTACCATCATCACAAGGTTGGTTTGGTTCATTAAGATACACTATTTTCATGTTCTTTATGTATATATATATAACATATGGTATGATGGTATATGATATGATTGCTAACTTTGGCCAGGCTGAAGAACAGAGAGTAAACTTTGGAACCCAAATAATGTCTTCTGATTTTGTTCTCCGTCTCCCAGAAACTCCCATCATTGTGAGCATGGTTACTGCCATTTTCATTCTCATAATTCCTCCCAATTGAATTTATGTTTTGTGCTTTTGACAGGTGGGGTTTGGTGGGGTTGGCGTGGATTTTCTGGCTGTAGTGCCATTTTTTCCTAACCCTGACACCAAAATCAGAACCACTGAATTCAAGGTTTTTCCTTCTCTAGCTTTCACTCACACTCCTTTCTTTCTTTCCTTTTTCCCCTTATTGTTCTTCCAAGAAACATAATTAAATGACGTCGTTTTAGTTTATGGGTTCAGAAATTTTTTGACGTTGACTTTGATTAAAGCCAAGTAACCCACTCTAACTACTCACTTTTGGTGGAGTGGACCACTATTTTTTGCTTTTTTTTCACTACTATGTCATTGGATATATCTTTTTCTTTTTCGTTTTTTAGAAACATGAAAAATAATTATTTTTATTTTTTAAATTATCTTTTCAGAATGATCACTTCCTGACAATGGTACTGTGATAATAAGGTTGGTTTATGTTTGTTTGTGTTTTTTGGTTGGACAGGTCCAAGGTGGTGGAAACACTGGAAATACTATGACATGTGCTGCCCGCTTGGGCTTAAAGCCAAGAATAATTTCCAAGGTTTCTTGTTTGCTTGGCATTAGTTTATGATAGTGTACTTAACATCATGGTCGTGGCTAATTTCTTATGATTATGAAACTTGAAATCACTAGCTTGCAAATGATGCTCCGGGTAAGGCTATGCTGGAGGAACTAGAAGCTGAAGGGGTGGATACCTCTTTTTTAGTGGTATGTGTGTGTCAATGATTTTTGGTTAGTCTGAAGAGCATAGAGTTACAAGCACTTGAATAGTTTTCCTCCTACAAAAGGAAAAAGAAATATTAAACCTTATATATACATATAGAGCATATTTTGTGAGATGCAATTTAGTTAAATTAGTCTTTGACCATCGATTTTGATTGTGCGATGATGATTAACTCTTCCAATGCTCTGTCTTTTATATATGTAGTTGTTGTATCATAATAAAAAACTCGGTTGCTTAAACTTGGTCTATAATAGAAGTATGAATAAATTCATAAAAAAGGTTTTAAATGTCACTTTATCCTTTTCTCATTTGCACTTGGTTGTGGCAAGCAAAGCAGTGCTCAACCCAATCTCCATTTTTTGGGGTTATCTTTCATTGATTCTTTTTTTCCCATTTGTTTTCAGGTTTCGAAGGAAGGGACTTCACCATTTAGCTACATCATTGTTGACAACCAAGCGTATGTGACATTACTTAAACGATTTTTACAAAAGATTTATGTTTATCTTGGCTATTTCTATCCAATTGTCTCACTTGATGGGCTTTTGAAAAATGAAAGTATTGAAATTGGCATTTATGTAAGCACAAAACTTTAATGCAATTCTTTAACAATTGTTCATGTTGTTCTTTAGTCAGAATTGAAGTTTCACTTTCATCTGCATAATATATTTTTTAACTCCAAAGTTACATCATTAAATGGATCAGGTAAAATTCTAATTTTTTTAATAAGTTAATTTTAATTAGAGAAGAGCACCAAGAGTATCTAAAGAAATGCATTTAAGCTTCATCCTTTTTTTCTTTTGATATAATGATAAAACTAGATTGAAGTTGTGAGGTTAGCAGTGACTCAACATTCTTGTTTGTTTCTATGTGCAAGTTAATTTTATACATTACAGTGAACATTTGCTAGAACATGATGGAAATACTGTAGAATGAATGTTATTCGTGTGATCTATCTTCATATGAAATTTTCTTGCCTGATAAATTGTCGTGCCTAACTTAAATTATTTAAATGACTCCTTCTACCTGAATCGTTCAGGTGTGCAAAATGATTAATCCTACAACTTTGAACATTCAGGAAAACAAGGACATGTATTTTCACTCCAGGATATCCTCCAATGGTCCCAGCTGATCTTCTCCAAGACAATTTGTTGTCTGCACTGGATGGAGCAAGAGTAGTCTATTTTGATGCAAGGATGCCTGACAGTGCTCTTGTCATTGCTCAAGAGGTAATTACATCTTAGTTGTTACCCAATTTGAATAATGCAAACTTCCATATAGAATTATTCTGCTTACATTTTTGTTATCAATGCTTACTCTTAAGGAGCTTGCTTATTCAAATGCCAGCTGTGATTGAAGGTAACACAGGTCATACACCTCGAAATTAGGATAGAAAACTTCAAATCCTTTCTTTGTATAAATTATTGTGAAAATACATCGGATTATCTGAATAATTACTAGACTCACAAATGTTGTCCTTAATGTCATTTAATTGTATTTGATACTTGAAGAGAAAGCATTGTGGTGAATCATAAGCTAAATTAATTATATTTTGCCCTTTCAGGCATTTCTTCGGAATATATCTATCATAATTGATGCTGAAAGGCCTAGGGAAGGGTTGAACGACCTCCTGGAATTGGCTGATTATGTTGTATGTTCGGAAAAATTTCCAAAGGCAAGTAACTCATACTATCATTAAGTAGAATTCTAGAATATCATAAATGCTTGGGACCTGTCTGTGCTTTTTTAGCTTGCAGATATGTAGTTCCAACTATTTCATCATTAGATAATGAATTTTCTTTTGCAAATTCAAAATTGTAGCTCTGCCTTACAGTCAAAACAACGATCTAGGAAAAGTATTTACAGCTTATTAAAATGGAAATATGAATTTGTTTCCATCTAAAATTTGAAAGGACCTCCTTGTAGAGTGGAACTGGGGTATTGCTTTAGGACACATCATACATGCATTGCATCATAAATCATAAAAAAAGAGGATTGTGTCACATGCATGGTGTATGCGTCCCCCCAGCCTCTTCCTTAAGGCATCCCTCCGACTGTCCCATGGCGGATCTATGATTAGCAATGTACCTTGAAATCTTTCAGAACAAGTGCATAAGTTTAGTGAGAATTCCTAAAAATCAACCTAATGTTTAAAAGGAGCAGGTAAAGGAAAACTGGTAAATCAGATCAAATAAGACATGACAAGTGAATTGGGGGATGTAACTGGACAATGATTGACCAGCTGTGTGAGTAAATTAACAACTTGTCATTTCTTCCAAGTCTGACATGTGACAATTTCAAGGGCTCTTTTACTTTGAGAGAATGTTTTCTATTTCCATTTTATGTTTTCACTTTTAATTACAAACTTTCACTATTTCTTTCCTAATTTCAAAGGATTTGTACTAGAAACCGTGAAACCAGCTTTCATTGTTTTCAGGAATTCTTTGCTAATTCCATTTTTTTTTATTTCAAAATTTTCTTTTTTTTCATGTATGGCTCTCTCTTCTATTTGAATGAACTGTTTTGTGATATTTCTTAAACGTGAATTTTATTTATGACTTTTAACTAACAATTTGACAGGCCTGGACAGAGGCATCATCTATTCCAAGAGCACTAGTTTCAATTATTTTAAGATTGCCAAGACTTAAATTTGTGATTGTAACTTTGGGAAAAGATGGCTGCTTAATGCTTGAGAAATGTGTAGATGATGGTAAAAATACTTGTTTCCTTATTGTTTGGGCCTTGTCAAGTTGAATTCATATGCAAAAATAGGCAGAAAGTGTAGCATCTAGGTAAATAATCTTTTTATTTTTTACATTTTATTTCTAATATAACATAAGTTGCAATTATTTTCTGGCAGAATGTTCTCATATAGAAGAAATGGATGTTGACAGTTGTTTAACATCATTAACAAAGAGAAAGGACGATAGCATAACCATGCCAACCTGCATAGCCTCGGTAATAACCTGCTATTTATTGTTATAATTCTAGGATAAGCTCTAATTGTGCAATGTCTTCTATTATTTCTTTTAAAAGATGATTTTCCATATTTATCACCTACCATTGGACCCTTTAGGGACCTGGACTGAACTGCTTCTAATAATCTGTCATATGGAAACTTCACTAGTACTAGTACAAAATCATCACTTACACAAGACTTATTTATGAGGCTGTTTTATCAAATGGCGCTAGAACATGTCAAAATGGTAGATATGGCTTCTAATATATGCATTTTTTGGGTAGAGATTGTCTAGACAAAAATAGTCAGATTTTAAATGCCCGACATGGAAGAAATTTACTTATGGTTAGTATTCCTGGGGCAAGATAACACTGGTTAACTGCACACTAAATAAACTTTGTGAGACTTTTGCCATGGATTTGTAGTATTTATTTGATGTGATTGCGTACAACTTATCTTGATTGTGGATAGAGATTGGATCCTTTGGCAATCAAGGAAGCCATTTTGATCACATTTTTACCTCATCTGACATTGTAATCTAGTATTGTCATGGGCAACCTAAAAGTATGCAATGGGATACATTTTCTGCTAAGGCAATTTGATTCAAATGTCATTGGACATAAAATTTTATTGCATTTTATTAATTGAGGTTATACATTTCTATATCTGTAAGACCATTTTTTATAATTCTGATTTGGTTAAACAATGTCTGGTTGCATTATATTCATGTAAGAATCCACTTAGATTGATCTTTTTACTTGATTCTCCCAGCGAGTTACAAAATTGAGAGCAGAAGGGATAGGATCTGTGTGTGGAAAGTTATATTTTGGGACAAGTGAAAAGATTCCACCATCAGAGCTTATTGATACAACTGGTGCCGGGGATGCATTTGTTGGAGCTGTTTTATATGGTTGGTGCAACTTCTTCATATTATCTTTGCACGTGCTAGCTAGAATTTTCTGATTTTTCCTCTGTACAAATTCTACCATTTTCACATTCATTGTTCACCATGATTCCATTGTGTTTCTAATTTTGATCGTATCACTTGTTAGGTTTGCTCCTTTGATGTTACCATTTCAAATTTTACATAGTTGTTATTTTTATCTGCAGCAATCTGTGCCAACTTACCACTAGAGAAAATGTTGCCATTTGCTTCGTATGTGGTAAGCAAGAAACATGATTGGCTTAATATGGATTCATAAGCTAATCAATGTTAAAACCTATAAAAAGTTGTGACACAAATCCACAAGATCAAAGAAACACACTTCTATTGTATTGTATCATTTTATATAATCAATTGAATTGGAAATTTAGAGGTAATCAAGGTTGCTTTTGATACTAATTACAGGCAGCTGCCAAATGTAGAGCTCTTGGAGCTCGTACTGGTCTTCCATACCGCAACAATCCATGCTTGACATCCTTTACTGAAGATAGAATCCTAAACTGTTCATCAACATCCTAGAATTATTGATCATGCAAAAAACAAGGCTTCAACATAGAAATTTTGCTGCTGTATTCCAGTTTATATTTAATCATTTAGCCCAAATGTTTGTGCTTTTGTATTTTTAGTAGCTAACAGTAACTGAAATTGTATAATTTCAGTGATAGATTGGTACAGAGATGGAACTGTTCATGTGGGTTCAGCCCCTGGATTTTAAGATATAAAGATCAAACTTTCATGTTATATAAATAAATCAATGAATAAATTATAAATCTTCTAAATTAAATTAAATTCAATCTATCATAGTACATGGAAAATGGAATAGTTTGCAAACTTTGATTTATGTGAATATCTTTGTGCGATCATTGTTTTGCACAGCATTGTTTATTAGATGTTGCATCTAAGGATGTTATTATTTCCGTCCATCAGTTTTTTACCAAGTTGAACTCCATTAATATTCTTGGTGCACCATGTAAATGTAACGAGGAACTAAAAGTTGCTTATGCTACAAATTTTGCTTATTTACTTCAAAATAATGAGTTTGAAAGTGGGAAATGATGTAATTAAATTATTTCTTTACAAATAGCAAGTGATATTTTATTAAAAAATATGTTTAAATCAATGTAATTAAATTTATGTAATTGGTTATTAAAAACTAGAAAAGTCAAAATTTATCTTTTGAACATTCTTATTTATACTACCTATTTTTATAATGTAATTTTTTTTTCAGCTACGAATATTGTAAAAATAATTATTGAAACATGCAATTTTTTTAGTGATTATATTATAGTATACATTAAAAAAATATAAATAAATATTAATTGATTTCTGCCCATAAAAATCAAAATGATTCACTCAATTTCAGTTTTATTGAGTTCTACAAGAACCTCGTTTCAATAATAATAATAATAATAATAATAATAATAATAATATTATTATTATTATTATTATTATTATTATTATTATTATTATTATGCTAAAACAAAATTATGTCTGAAACTAAAATATGCATACTTTTTATGTCAGTGCTAAAACTTAAAATGAAGATGAATATAAGATGGACTTAACCTAGTTAATATTTTAATTAATAAATCAAAATGTTAAAACCAGTTTCTCAACCAATTAAAATCATATCAATTAAAAATAAAACTTGTGAGAAATGGTAAAAAAAAATAAAAATAGCATAATAAATATATGAAAAATATATACATAAATGAAATTTTTATTTAAGCCAAAATCTGAAGCAAAAGAAAAAGAAAATGGTAGGTTGAAATTGAAGCAAAGGTTGATATAAGTAGGTTCAATCTGGCGCCACCACCACTCACTCACAAACCAAACGATGTGGAACCTCAGCACTGTTATTTCCGATGCTTCTTCAACCTTCACATTGAGCATTCAACCTCCCTCACTTCCCAACGTCTTCCATGTAACTCACTCTCCCTCGCATTTTCATTTTCCCTCTTCGTTAATTCTCTGATCATTTGTTCGTAATTTTCTGTTTTTGTTTCAATTACTTAGTTTGGGTCACAGAGAAGGAGGAGACCTCGCCGCAGGGTCACCATGTCCTCCAATCCACAAAACGCCGTCGTTGTAAGCTCTCTCTTTCTGATTTCATTTGAAGCATTGCCGTCAAAGTTAGAGAGTTTATTTTTTTATGTATGTATTTATGCAGGTGGGATGTGGAGGGGTGTCTATCGATTTCTTGGCCACCGTTGCGGCTTACCCTGAACCAGATGACAAAATCAGAACCACCAAATTGAAGGTACCTTCTTCTTCTTCTTCTTTCACTTTTTATGAATAATTTTTGTGTTGTGCTGACATTTGTTGCTGGTTTTTCTCAGGTTCAAGGAGGTGGCAATGCCGGAAATGCCTTAACCTGCCTTGCTCGCTTGGGCTTAAACCCAAGGCTCATTTCCAAGGTTGCTTTTATTTATTTAAATAAACTAAAAGTTCAATTTTTATGCACTATTAGGATAGAAAATATTACACCATAGATCAATCACAAATCATTGTTGCTATGACTTTTAAGGTAGTTGTTGTTTAAGTCGACAAATTTAATATACTTATCAGTTTGTAATATAATGAAAGTGTAAAAACCTTAAAATGATCAATGGCTCAGTGCACACTGTTACTCATGACCCTCTCAGCATTTGTTTTCTTTTTTTTTTCTGTAAAGAAAGATATCTAATAATATGTAATGGTTTAAATTATACTGATACAAACGGTTGGACACTTATTAGGTTGCCGATGACAGTCAAGGCAGGGGTATATTAGACGAGTTACGAGCTGATGGTGTAGATACATCCTTTATAGTGGTAATTTTTAAGGCTGTTCTGTTTGTAATTTGTAATCTTTGTCAAGGTCATGAGCAATATCATGATTCCATGATGAAATGGTCATTAGCTTCTTTTAACTCTTCACCTGATTGTGTTTGTATATGTATGTATACATTTTTTAATTTCAATGTTATTGATACTCTCAATGTCTCTTTCCACTTCCCACTAACTACTAATTGTAATTTCCTCTGTTGTTCTTAGCTAAATGCAAAAAAATAAGTTAAGATTTTTTTTTGTTAAAGATATTTTGGATTTTGCAATTAAAAGCAGTTAGTGGGGATGAGAATAGACAATTGAGAGGGCACCTGCCCTAACTATAGTGTTTTAATACGTTTTCAGTGGATGTATTCCCTGTTATTTTCAGGTGTCTAAGGAGGGAACATCGCCATTTACATATATTATTGTTGACAACCAAACGTAATTATCATTGGCTTTATATATGGTTACACTATCTTGACTTCTCTCCTGAGTATATTCCTGATCTAAATTCGAAGAGGTGGGGGCAGAGTATGATTTGGGTAGACCTAGTCAAGATTTGGGTCACTGTCGTCTGAATGTTTTTAAGATAACATAGTAGACATAGTGTCGTCCTTCTATTTGCATTGAAGAATAAAAATAGAAGGAAATGACTGAAGCTGCAAACTTTTCAGTTTACATGTCTATTGTCAATAACTTACACGTCTCCATTTTCTTGTGTTTATACATATTTGGACACTTGAGGATACCATACACTTGTTTTAACGAACCTTCACTGCATGAATGAGACAGAAAAATTGTTCATTAGTTGTATTGTAAGAAATGTAAAAACTATTTCCTATCATTATTCATTATAAATTGAGATCTTTAAGCATTTCTTCCAGGAAGACTCGCGGTAATTTTAATTGTAGCTTGACTCATTTTAAGTGTGATTTTTCAGGAAGACTCGAACTTGTATACATACCCCAGGATATCCTCCAATGATACCAGACAACCTGCCAAAATCAAGTTTGTTATCTGCATTGGATGGAGCCAAAATTGCGTATTTTGATGGAAGGTTGCCTGACACTGCTCTAGTTGTTGCCCAAGAGGTTATATATACAATTTATTTGCTACTCTGATGCAAACTATAAGGCCTCGTCATATTTCATAGTTGACGCTTCAAGAAAATAGAAGCTGGAGGCTTGAAGCATGCAAAATTTCAAAGAAGCTAACACTTAATGAATTTTAAAAATTTAAGGGGGAAGGGGGGGACCAACCAACCAACCTTATAGAGAGCTCTATGTGCATAATTCTATTAGTTTTGTGAATACTGCTAGTAGATTTTTATGTAATTTCCATTGGTATTCTTTTACTCCTTGGGGGTGGACAAAGAGAGATTCATCTGAAAGGAAGCAAACAAAATTTCATACTTTTTCAGTGCAGGCAGTTAGAAGGAATATACCCATCTTAATTGATGCAGAAAGGCCAAGGGAAGGGTTGGACGATCTCCTAAAGTTAGCTGATTATGTCGTATGCTCAGCAAAGTTTCCAAAAGTAAGTCCATTTGTTTTCTCTGAAATTCTTGTCTGTCACAAATGTTTAATACTAGAGGTTTTCTTGCCAACCTTGTTTTCTTGTTCAGAAATGTTGAATTTATTTTAACTATCCACTTTTCTGTTCTTGGCCAATCAATAAATGTGTTATTTACTTTGTAAAATATATGCTGTCATATCTCACAAGAAAAGAAAAAACTATTATCTTCTTTTGTGTGTGGCATGCTGATAGTGTAATATGTTTGCTTGCACATCAGCACGTGTGTTACTTGAGTTATCTAATCTGTAAGGTATTCTTTTTCTGACGGGAAACGGACATTGTTTTCCTGATACCAATGTTACATATCATTTTCCTTTTCTGGTTGCTATAACTTTTTTTTTTAATCTCTTGCACATATATTTCCATTTATTTTACAGAAACCTTATTTTCACTCTTTTATGTGGGTTGAATTTTTTAATCATCATTAAATACACGTGTACACTTTTCTGCTGACAGGCATGGACAGAGACATCAACTGTTCCACAAGCACTTGTTTCTATGCTTTTAACGTTGCCCAGCATAAAATTTGTGATTGTAACTTTGGGAAAAGATGGATGCATAATGCTGGAGAGAAGTGTTGATGGTACGTTTAGATGATAGTGGGCATATTAGTCATTATGTTATTTGTTTTTTTATGTAAACATAGTTTCATGACTGAGCCTTTTCTGGCAGAAGGTCCTTCTACGGAAGAAGTAGATGTAGACAGCTTATTGGAATCATTAGAGTTAAAAAGGAATAAGAGTGTATCTACTCCAACCTGCATATCATCAGTAATGTCAACAAAACCCAGAATTCTTTTTCTTCTGCTTTGGTATTGCTGAAGTCTAACACCAATCTTTATGCCACTGTATGAGAGCTACTTAAAACAATTGATGTTGTTGGGCTATACATCAAACAACCAGCTTTCAGTAGGAGAAATGTTAGCAACACACTTTTTTAAACACACTCTTTGTTATTGGCTGAAATTTATTCAAAATTACAAATTTGTTTGGGTCCCACTCCTTTTCAATTAATTTTAACTAATACCAGTAGGGAGTGTTGCTGGCACTTTTCTTTTTTGTAAAACCATTTACAGTAATGTACTAATGAACTTTGTAAGGGCTTCTGCAAATTTTTTGTACATTAAAGCTCGGCACTAACAGAGCAAAAGGACAGACTAAACTCTAATTTGTCGGATAAAGACATGGACATCAAATTCTATTGATTTTTTCTTAATGATTCCCTAAATGAACTTGTCAATAGCTTAACTAGCAATGAACAAGTACAATTTTTATGTTAAAAGATTTTAAATATTGTATCTGAGCAGTGTGTTATAGAAGTGTCTGTCCAACTTGGTGTGTTTATGGTATATGAGGTCTTTCTCTAGCTCTTAATTGGACTATCTTCCATTTGAACCAATTTCAAATCACTGAAGTGGATTGCTGTGTGCACAATTAACACCAGTGTTACAAAGCTTAAACCAAGCATTGGTGCGTGTTCTTAAACATTCACAAGGTGCATATATGATTGTCTCTCTCTGACATGATATGGCCATTTTTTTTGCAAACCGTTCTGATAATAACATCTAAAACCTCTTAAACATAGAGATTCCAGAAAACCTTTGCGCAATAGATGACTACTTTTTGTAGCCCTACATTCATTTGCCAATCTTTGACATAGAAGACACTGAATCCTTTAAACCGCCAAGGAAATTTTTGTCTACATGTAAACAAATATAAAGGAAGTTTGAGCAACTTGTGTTAAGTATTCCCTGTCACTATTTGTTTTAGTCTTGGAATTACAACGTTCAACATAACCTCTTCTACATATTAATATCTTTATTTTCACAGTTAATTGTGTAAACCGATAACTTGACTGTCACAGATAAATGAAAGTATATTGTAGTCATTCAAAGTAAAGCCAACTGACTCGGATCCTTGAAATTCTAGGAACAGGGATTGTAACTTCAAACAATTACGTGCTTATTTGGGATTTTGTTCAACTTTTTAAGTCATATTTTTTTCCCTTTAATTCACCCAGTCAGTGGCAAAATTGAAGGCTGAGGGGATTGGAACAGTTAGTGGGAAGTTATATGTTGGAACAGCTGAGAGTATTCCACCATCAGAGCTCGTTGATACCACTGGTGCTGGGGATGCATTTATTGGGGCTGTAATCTATGGTAAATACTAGAGCTTTGTTCTCTCTTTTCCTGATGGTCTTTGGCAAGGCCATGATATCAGAATATGCAACTTCCATATAAACTTCTATGTTTATACTTCATGACAACTGCATTTAACTTCCTCTGAAAACATCGACGAGATCTGTTCTGTGCTAATTTTCAGCTATCTGTGCCAAGTTAACACCAGAGACAATGCTATCCTTTGCTGCTAATGTGGTATGTGGTCTTGTACTCAAGTATCATCAAACGCACACACATATAATGTGGTATATGGCATGCCTTATTTTATACTTCAATTAGGAAAATGCAAAATGTATTGAATCTATGGAACTAAAGTATATTTTTATAATTTTTCGATTGGTGCTTATTCATTTAATGCCACTTCAGGCAGGTGCCAAGTGCAGGGATCTAGGAGCACGAAGTGGTCTTCCTTACCGTGCAGATCCACGCTTAGAATCCTTTATATTGGAGAAATCGACTACTTCAGCTTAACATGTAAGAAAAAGACATCTGTATTCTGTTTTCAAAGCTGGGTTTTCCGTTATTTCGTTATGCAATAGTTTAAGTACAAATAGCTTAATCTTTCATTTCAGATGTACGGATTTTCCAGTGGTCGTGCCTTTTTGCATGAGATGTCTTCATTGGGATGTTCGACTGAGTTGTTCAGTGGAGATATTGGTCTTGGACATTATAATCTTTGATTTTCACAGTTGAAGTGAGGGAGCGAATGGATATTATCTGCCTTTTAGTTTTTACTTTGCTGTCAGTTGTTAACTTCCCATCCTGGATTATAATCATAAGATAGTGTATTTCGGTTAAGATAAAATAGAAAAAAAAAACAAATAAAAGGGTGTTACCAGCAGCTTCAATTGATCAGTAAAAATATTAGAAAGCTAGAAAAATTGAAATATATGTTAAATTATTACTTTGTCATATCATTTTTAGTTTTAAACTAGAGTGAGTAACAAAATACATTTTTAAAAATCTTAAATTATATTATTTCAGAAATTAAAATGACACTCACGCTTTCGTGGATCAATGAAGTGCTCGTCTGAAAAATAAACAAGACAACATCAGCGAGAACATAAATTGGAATTGCATATAATGTCTATGATTTACATTTAAACCCAAGTGATGTTTTCATAAGCATCACATTACATGTATACCCATGTGAGCACCAAGTTGGGTAATTCAGATTTTCTTTTACATAAATTTGGTTGTTTCTAATGCAAAATAAGCACCATTTTAATTGATGTTTCTGAGATCAACAGTGACCCAATAGACTTCCAGTAATCTCGTTTGTTAATTGAGCATCGAACGCCCATTTGAAAACGCAAATCTTTCATCGCTTGTTGAGACAAAAATGCAGTAAAATATACATTCTGCACAATTAGCCACGAACATATTGAACCTACTTCCTCAAAAATATAGAGATAATTATCTATCACCAGCAACCTTTATAAATATGCCCCCAAAAGACTTTATTGCTCACCAAATGAAATTCACAATGGCATTAGAAAGACTAATAGATCAAAAGCCACCAACCAGCAATAAGTAGCATCGACTTTGATTAAAAACATTTATAACTTGCAACTAGGACTTAACAGGGACAGAAAAACATTGGTAGTGTTCAATATAAGAAAACACTACCTCAAACTACCCTCAGACTGCAATATAGACTCTCCAGTTTCTGATGTGTTGGATGATCCCACAAGATCATCATAATCATAAATAAATACATTGGGTTTAAAAACAATGAGTTCAACAACAAACCAAAGGTTTTGCATCATAGGCCTCTCTTACTTCCAATAAATCGGGGCAAAATCTTTTTGCGAGAATTTCAACCTGCTCAGCAAATGGCCTACCCCCATGCTCTCCAATATATTGAACCATTTGGTTCCACCGTTTTCTACATGCATCACCAGGCCTATGCTCAAGCAGATTGTCCCAATCTACCTCCTCCATGCAGCAAGCATCCAAAGTAAATAAAGCATTTACCAGGCGATAGTCATCAGTATCACTCCATGTACCACTAGCAACCATTGGTGATGTTAATTTATCATACCACTTCATGCAGCAGCGAACACTGGTTCTAGTGGCCAACTTGTCACCAATTGCCTCCCAACCAATATTATCTCGCAACATACCATGTTTTGATTTTCTATAACCTTGTGAAGCTCTCGCACGTAGGTCCTCGTTTACTAAATTGAATAAATTTTGATACTCCTCTTGGGTCCATCGTCCTTTATTTCTATTGGTTAATTTTATTCTACGCCATGCATCCTTTACATGAAATCGATGTTTGCCCATTGCATCAGCTACTGCTTTCCAATTAGATCCATGTTGTTCGTGGATCTTCCGTAAAAAATCATACTCTTCAGGTGTCCACTTCCGCTTCTCATCCCTTTCAAACAAAATATGGGCACGAGTATACACACTAACGTATGGCCTATTGGGTAACGCTGCTCCAATTTCCCTCCAACAATTTCTAATTTCACGATGAGAGTTACAATGGAGAACCATATCTAGACCTTCATCTCCCAAACCATGAGACTCTATATAATAAAAAACAGCCAATTTAATCCTCTCATCTTCTTCTGGTGTAAACCGTTTCCCACGGATTAAGCCATCACAACAAACATCCACTTGATCAGAAAAAGTTACCCGTTTGGGTTTGGATAATCCACTGTGTGCAGGATTAGAAGATTCACCATTATCTGCCTTGGCTTTCTTCTTTTTCTCCATTTTCTTGCTTTGAGAATCAACATCATTGACTCTAGCCGAAGGTGGATCGCCTTCTTTGCTATTGAACTTACTATTCTCCTTATTTTTGCCTTTGTCATGTAGTTTCTTCTCCTCCATCTTCTTACCAGGGATGTCATCTTCACCTTCATTGCTTTCAAACTCATTAGACTCGTTAATTTTGCTTTCTTCATGCAGTTTTTTCTTCTTCCTCTTCTTACCTTGGACATCCTCTTCACCTTCATTCCTTTCAAACACATTATACTCCTTACTTTTACTTTCTTTACTTAGTTTTTTCTCCTTCCTCTTCTTACCTTGGGCATCATGTTCACCTTCATTGCCTTCAAACTCATTATCCTCCTTACTTTTGCTTTCTTCACTCAGCTTTTTCTTCTTCCTCTTCTTGCCTTGGGCGTCATCTTCACCTTCATTGCCTTCAAACTTATTATACTCCTCACGTTTGCTTTCTTTACTCAGTTTTTTCTTCTTCCTCTTCTTACCTTGGGCATCATCTTCACCTTCTTTGCTTTCAAACTCATTATATTCCTTACTTTTGCTTTCTTTACTCAGCTTTTTCTTCTTCCTCTTCTTACCCTGGGCATCATCTTCACCTTCATTGCTTTCAAACTCATTATACTCCTTACTTTTGCTTTCTTCACTCAGCTTTTTCTTCTTCCTCTTCTTACCCCGGGCATCATCTTCACCTTCGTTGCTTTCAAACTCATTATACTCCTTACTTTTGCTTTCTTCACTTAGTTTTTTCTTCTTCCTCTTCTTCTCCTCCTTTTTGCATTGACTGACATCTTTATCTTCATTGCTTTTAAAATCATTGTAGTCCTCGTGTTGCCTTTCTGCATCTAATTTCTTCTTCTTCATCACCTTCGTATCAAACACCTGTTCGGACCATAAATTGGATATTTAAGCACTTAAAGGTGATATGGAAAACTCTTCATAATACATATAACGAAAATAATTCATAAATCATGACTATGGAGAACCACAATCTTCCCGGTCCATGTTCAATGATTGACTCAGACTCCTCAACAACCAGTGTAAATATTAAATGTTTTTTCAATACTTCCTGTATATAATTTGTCATTGATATCTAGATTAAGTGCTAAAGAAGGATTAGCAGAAGCTCAAAAGACTGCAAATTTGACGTGTTAAAAGACTGAAATTAATCCTCATTTAAAGCTTAACGAAAGAAAAATAGACAACAATAAAAAACAAATATACACTTAGTTACGCTTGAAAGCGATAAATTTTGTTAGGATTGGAATGAAAATTGCAAGCAACATCTGCAAAGAGATGAAAAGAAGGAAACTCAAACCCGGACCTGGAGATTGTAGCGGAGCGCGGCGTCAACGAGGCGGCACGCGGCTGCGAGGAGGTGACCGTCAAGGGGAAGTGGGAGCGAAAGGAGACTGTGATTAGGGTTTAGAGGGCAAAATGAGGACAAAGTCGAATATATAAAATAAAGTCGAACATATATATATATATATATATATATATATATATATATATATATATATATATAACATTAATAGATATTACATTTAAAATATAAATTAATAATACATAATTTATTTATAACATATAATTCATACAAATCATTAAAATAAGATAATACAATAAATATAATACACATACATATAATGTGTTTCCGCTATTAATAAATAAACATTTTAATACATAAATTATATTGTAATTAAAATTAAAATAAATATGTTCAATTTGAAAAAAAGTTTATTTTAAGTTATCATAATTATTTTATATTGAATTTTAACCATTCATACATTTTTTTAAAATTGAAATCCAATTTTATTTTTTAAAAAGATAGATTGAAATTAAAAAAAAAATCTTAAAGCATTATTATAAAAATCCTCTTACAAAATTTTAATATAAACTTAAAATAAAGTTGTGAATATTATTGTGATTATTAGTATGTAATGAATAGGACCACTGTCCCTTATCATTATCATAATTATATGATAAATACTTTAAAATAAATTTTAATATAATAAAAAAATTATTTATGTTGAAATAAAAAAAGAAGAAGGTGAAACTCAAATTTGTCCGAAACTAAAAATAAAATATATATTATAAATTTAAAAAATTAAAAATTTTACTACTAATAGGGCTTAAATTCAGCTACTACGACAATGTGGTCTGAATGTTAAATATGAAACAACACCATTTTGAAAAATAACAATATTACTTAAGATTTCCTTAGTAAAGAAATTTATACCCAATCTTTATTATATATGAAATTATGGGGTCAAGTTGACTCTCATTTACGTGAAAAACATAAGTTGAAAATCTACAAAGATTTTGATATTACTTTACAAATAAAAAAATTTAAAAAATAAATGTTATTTATTTTAATCATTTTTCATCTAAGATAAATCTCTATAAGTTATTATTACAATATAATTTAACATTTATATATATTTTTAGATATAATTTAATTTATATAAAGTCATAATTATATTTTTATAATAACATATAAAAACATATTTACACATATAAGATATATATATATATATATATATATATATATATATATTATAAATATTATTTTTTAAAATAATAATTTATAACACATGGATGAAGTAACTAAAAAACATATACATTTTCAAAAGTCAAGGGAAACTTTAGAATATTAAAAAATTAAAAACTAAACTGATGATTTACGTTATTTTGGAATTAACATGAAATTTGAATCATAAAGCTGATTTCTGGGCCGTCAAAACGACTCGGCCCATATCTTTGAACTTAATCTCGAGGTCCATCTAGTTTCTACGACAAAGTCCTACAGTTATCACTAACTAGAACTTTATTGTTATTTTTTTTTCTATAAGATGATGGAGAGTGGAGGAGTGGAAAAATAAAAATAAAGATTGAAGTAAAAATTAATAATAATTATTATTATTATTATTATCTAAAACTGTTGAAAAATAAAACTAAAAAACAAAATGCAGTTAAATAAAATGTTAAAAGTTGGTGCATTAGTTTGTTGCGGGCACGTCAATGATGGAAACGTAAATGGATAATGACAGAGTAAAATTAAGTTTATTTTATCACCAAGTAGAACTCTAAAGACCGAGTCTAATTTATTAATAGATAACTATGATTAGAAACTATCATTAGACACTTCTGAGCATGTCTTGGTAAGAACAATGAGCTTCGGTTCCATCTACCACTTAAAAATATTATACATAACAAATCCAAACAGCAGAACATATAAGAACATTTGTCGCGAATTACAAATTGTCGTACCATAATATGCAACATGTGCTATGTCTTGCTCCTAAAGGCACCCACAACATTGATATGGGATATGGCCTCTCAGCTTTTACGTTTTGTAGGGTATGGATGTGGACTGTTACGTCACCGTTTTGGCAAACTCGGACCCAAAAACCCACACTTCACTCCGATAATCACTCATCGCATTCATAGGGCAAAAGTGCATTTCCATTTTTTCATACCCCACTATCAAACTTTTTTTTTTTTAATCATACTGATTTATGAATTTAATTTTTATTAAAAAGTTTAATATAATTGAGAAGTTACTTACAAAAAATATTTATAAATAAAAAAGTTTTTATTATTATGATTTTAAGTACATAACTTATTTTAAAATTTATCAAAATTATTTTTATATGAAATCTACTATCAACTAAATTATAAAAAGGAATAAATTCATCATGATAATATATTTACTTTTTATTTATTTAAAATGATTTTCTCACTATCATAATAACATTAGTAAAGAATACAAGAATCTCGCCAAAAGATACTTTCAAATTAAAAAAAAAAAGGAAAAAAAGAAAAAAATACATCGTGAGTTTGGTTTGGACGCAGCTCGTGAAACCGTGTATAACGCGCTGTCCCGTGTTGAACTTTTTCAATTTCGTTTTTTAAATTTTTTATATGGGTCCCACATTATGAAGGTGGGTCCCACTCAAACACAATACGGAATATACTCTTACACGTGGCGTGGTCTGAGTGGGTCGTGTCTTTATATTTCATTTTGATTTTCCTTAACAGTAATGTATTAATCCGTGCTTTAACTAATTGATCATTTGTTTAAGTTAATTAAACTTGGTTTTCATCAATGCCCACATAGTTCACACTAATTACAAATTATGCCAACCTCACTTAATCCACGAGAAAAGAAACTCATATACATGTGTTTGTTTAAGTAAATAACTATTTGTTAATATCATGTATTTTATAAGATTTTAATGTATGAATGTATAAATTTTTCACACAAGTTATTTAACATTTTAATTTTTTTAATAAGGCTTTAAATTTTGATTTTTGAATCGAACATTAAATTGCAATTTAAATTACTACTTTATTTATAATAGACCGATTTGTTAGTTAAATACTTAATATATAATGATATGTAATGATTTTTTTTCAATTATTTTGTATCATAAAAAATAAAAATATTAAAAGTATTATAATTTTTTCAAAAATAATTATTATAATTTATATATTTAAAAAATAGTAATTATGAGAAAGAAAAAAATACAATACTTAATACGATACAATTAACAAAATCTAATGCAGTTAGACACAATTTTTTAGAGTTTGTCATAAGAATAATTGTTTAATTTAGATTTGATTCAATTCCATAATATATAAATCACATTTTCAGTAACTTTCTTAGTACATAATTTTTTTTATAATGCAAAATACATATTTTATTATTCTCTTTTATTTGAATATATTTAATTTTTTTTAATTTATTTTAAAAATTTGATTGTTAAAATTATTTTTAAAGATTTTAAATAAAAATTAAATCAAATAGGCCATAATATATTTACCAATATAAATCGAGAAAAACGATCAACATAATAACTAAATCTAAATCAAATGTTTATGAAATGGTATCATTTTTTTAGCTAATTGATCTTGTTACGAATTGATATTTAAACCAATTTTCACATAAATACTAAAACCTTTAATAAAATATTAATTATTCAGAAATCTTAAGTACAAATTATCGGAAAAAACAGAATTATACAACACTAAATAACTTCTCCAATAAACCCTAAGATGAAATTGTTCTATTAGTGAATGAATGACCGTGAAGTGTAAACTATATATGTTATATAGAAATAAAAAAATAATAAACTTTATGGCAAATCAATATTTGCTTTATCTCAAAATATACAACATTGTTGTTGAGAACAATATTGTTTTTAAATATATATTTCATTAAGATTATATTCATTTATTAATTATATATTTGTCTTTTTAATTTATTTATCAAAACATAATAAATTAGTAATAATAATTTTAGATGGAAAAAATATTAATGAAAAATGACTAATAAAATTAAATATTGTATGAATTTTACTCATGATAATATAAAGATGGCTTTAAAAAAAAATAATTAAAATATTTTTTTATTATAAAATTTATATCGATTTTTAGTTTTGGTTTGGTTATTTCAAAATTTTTAAGGGTTTTATTTTGATTTTTACAATTCAATAGCATTAGTTTTTGTTGTATTTATATCTCTTCAAAACAGAAAAATATTATAGGCACTGAAGATATATTAAAATATTGGCACTGATAATAAAAATTGAAATAAATTATAGAAAATAAAATACATTTTTTTTTACTCTATGCGAACAAAAAATGTCTATATTTATTTGGCCTTTATATTAAATTTCTATTACAAATTTTGAATTCTTAGCATATTTTAATAATTCTAAAATGATTTTCTTGTATAACTTGTAAGTATTTTTGCTTTACATATCTTATATTCCTTTTACACCAAATCAAATCAATTGAAAAACAAAGGAAAAACAACAAATTAATTTTAAATGAATATAAAAGGATATATATATATAAAGATGGTGTTTCACTAATTTTTAGGTGGTATCTAATTTTCTTTGTTTAAAAATATTATAAAGATCCCATCATTCTATTTTTAAATTTATTTTCTAAACAATAATTTAATATGTGATATTTTGTATTTATTTTAAATTTGTTATTCTTTATAAAAAAACTCCCAATCCCAACCACACCAAATACTTCGTGCTGCTGCAACAAAGGAAGAGTTTAAGATCTTTTGGTTATAATTTTCTTACATACTTCAATTTTTATTTTATTTTTTAATGTCTTCGGTAATATATTAAATTATTCATAACATAACAAAATAAATTTATCATTAAAAAATCAAATTATAATATAAAACAATATGAAATAAAAAGTTTGATTTATTAAAAATATAAATAAATAATTGATGATGATAATGAAGGTAACTAATTTAGTTGACAAAGAATCTCATTCATAATCATGTCTTAAGTCCTGTGTAAAAAAATAAACCCGATGCCATTCCCGAAATTTCTCGCAATGAATAGGGGTAGTATGGGGATTTCGCAGGGTAATAAAATATGTTCAAGATACTTAACAATTTTTTATTTTTATTTTTACATAAGTTAATAATTGGATAATTTACCTTAATTTCATAGTAATAATTATATTAATAATTCATAATAAAAAACTTATAGCGGAAGAAAAAGATGGTGGGAGAAAGAGAGAGAAGTAAAGAAGAAGAAAAAACGAGACGAAGAACACCACCAAGGGCTTAACCTCTTCTTCAAAAGTTTTGGTGTTGTTGAAGGGTTTAAGCTTTTCAATTCAATTCCATTCCATTCAATTCAATTTCATCAGTATATATTATATATACTTATAATAATAATAATAATAATAGATCATCATAGTTTTTTCATTCGGTAGATAGAGCGTACCAATTCGTACCTTCGTTTTCGTCATTCTCGATTGCGAAGATCTTTCGATTATTTCACTGGAGCTGTAGCGCAACGAGCTAGATCCGGAACGGTTGCGAGATTTTCGATCCGATCAATCTACCGCAAATGGTATCAATTTCTCACTCTTCTGATTTTTAGTTTGGTCATCATCGAGTCAATTCGAAGTCATGGTTTCTCGCTGCTAAGATAATTTACTTTTTTTAGAAATGTTTTTTTTTTTTTTGGGAGCTGATCTGTTATTACATGGAAGCAGAATTAGGATTTTTCTTCTGTCCATGCGAGTTTTTTTTTTTTTGTTTATCTCTGTTCTATGTACAACCGTTTTGTTATTTCCGAACGACATTGTAGGGGTCTTTTTTATCTGTATAATGTGATTTTACTGCTTTATTATTTATTATTTAATTTTTATTATTGATAAGGATTCTCTTCTTAGGATCATATGAATTAATAAAAAAAATATCAGATTCATAATATAACCATCATGTTTCAAAAACCTTTTATTGAAGTCCAAAAATCCCGAGTAAGAATTGCTGGATCATCACTTCTTCAATGAATAGATATAATTAAAAAATTCAAGGAAATGTCTTTGCTCAAAATAAAGACCAGGTCGAGAAGATTGAAAAAAATGAAAATTTTTAAATTGATTTTTACTTTTTAAGTACAGTTGTGAGGTCTAAATATTTAGGTGATGGTGTGTTTTGCTATTTGACTAAGCTGTTTGAAGAAACAGGTAGTTCAAATTTTCGCCACATCGTTTCGGAAGATTATTGCTATTAATTAACTAATGTTGTTTTTATTTTTATTTTTGGAGGGGATTAACAATGTAATTGTTAATATAATCTTTAAGGATGCATGTGATTGAGCTAGATAAATCTAAAGTCTGTTTTTTGAAAAGGGAAACATTGGCTATGGACCGCTGATTTCAATTTCATAAATCTGTTGCGGTTCTGTTGTTACATCGCTGATTTTTTAGATGATTTTTCAAAGCAAAGAACCTTCTGTTTGGTATTTGAACTTTGATTTTAATTATAAAGGATATGATCCCGCCCCACGCCCTCCAAATTAAAAGCTTAATCAAAATGGTCATGCAACTTGGGTCCCATTCTTTGAAAATGCTAGTGATTAACTCCTGGGTAACTAACTTAATGGGTGTATGCGAATTTTGTATGGTTTAGGAAGACAGAAGTAATCGGTCTTTCCTATGCTTGTGACTATATGTGGCACTTAAATGCTTAATTATCTCCTAATAATGGTCAGAATTTTCTAAGTGATCTATCTTTTTTAAAATAATATTTTTCATTGATGATAGTTATCTTTGCCTATTTCCATTTATTATACGTCAAGTGTTTTTCTATGGTGTGTCTTGTTCAATTTATATATAATGTAGTAAATGTCCATTTTGGTCATCTGACGATATTTGTGCCAATAAGTTGTCCCTTAATTTATAATTACATCAAATTGGTCCTTAAAGTGGCATCAAATCGTTTTTGAAAGACAAAACTAATGGCATTCAATACCAATTTAATGTTTTTGGTTGTAATATTCGATGTTGGCTCCAATATTTTTTGTGAAACTTAACTGGTCTATACAATTGTTAACTTTTGTGGATTCTATTTGATTTTTTTCATGTCTTGCATTATGGTTACCAGAGTGTACTTAAGTACTAGATTTTCTCATATGTTGTCTTCTAATTATTTTTGTTACCAACTTTTCATTCCATAGCTCTAAGTTAAAGAAATTAAATTGGGGGACTTTGAGTTTATCCTTCATTGAATTGATTATTTTAGGTGAAAAGTATTTATAGTAATTATTTTCAACAAATGCCATTTCTCAATAGGAACTGTATAACATCTAAATGAGTTAAGATAGATGTTTGCATAGATATAGATAAGGCATTGGGTACGGACACGGGTATAGGATACAAGAAATTTGAAAATCTAGGATATGGACATATTAATACAAATTAAATATATACATATAAAGAAAAACATAATTTTATATAAAAATCTAGGACTCAGACACAAATAAGGGCAACATGTAGCATAAAAAGAGATTAGATTCTTCAACAATATGAGGATGATTGTGAAACTTGACTTTAGTAGTCCCCATGAGTATCCAATGCATACTATGTATTGGTACGTACCCAATACATGTTGATTTTAGGAGTACTTGAGCTTTGGAAGTTAAGGTAGAAGAACTTGAATTCCTACAGTCTTTTCAAATTTCCATAGCAACGAATCATTTTTTGATTATTGGGTGTTAGTTAATGCATTCAATTCAACCAAGTGAAAATTGTGGGACTTACTGCTCTGATACCTGAACCAATATTGTTAGGTTATTCAAAGTGACGTTACTTTTATTTGCAAAATATAAGAAATCATAATTCATTGCTTTATAATGTGCATATGTGGGGATGTAGATTTACTCTTAGCAAAACAACCTTTACCATACAACCAATTACATTTAAAATATTTCAATTTCTTTGTAAGGAATAGAACTTTATTTTGCCATTTTCCTTTTGTTTATGATTTTCTCTTTTGCTACTTGATCGTGCATACATTTTATTAGAGAGGGAATGAATTCTATAGGCTGCCATTGCCAATCCAGTTTATTTATGTTGTGACACTCTCTGCTTTGCAGGCTGCCACTGTCAATCCTGTTGTTGGTTCCCAAGTTTGGGTGGAGGATTCTCAAGTTGCCTGGATAGATGGTGAGGTCTTGGAGGTTAAGGAAGGAGAAATTAAAGTCCGTTGCACTTCAGGGAAAACAGTGAGAATGCTTTAATATCTTTTAAATTCAATTCTGTTCTTCACCAATTTTTTGTGCTGTAAATTTATGAGTTCTTTAAACATAAATAACTTGTGGGAATCTTTATGAGAAGCAGAAAGAAGTTATGGTAGTTTTGTGCTTGCAGTCTCCTGTAGGTCATTTAGTGTACTAGGCATACATTTTTTAAGTGAACAGAGAAGTCAAAACTTGAAGCAGTCTGATATTTTAATTTTAATATTTTGAATCATTACCTTTGTCTTGAAATTTGCAGGTTGTTGTTAAACCTTCTAGTGTTTACCATAAAGATACAGAAGCCCCACCATGTGGAGTGGATGATATGACAAAACTTGCTTATCTACATGAACCTGGTGTCCTGGATAATCTGAGATCAAGATATGATATCAATGAAATTTATGTGTGTATTTCAGATGCCAATTCTCCAAATAGTCTCCCTTGTATCTTAATGTTTTTATATTTACTTGACATTATCTCATTCCACATTTTATTTCCAGACTTACACTGGGAATATATTGATTGCTGTGAATCCTTTCATAAAGCTTCCTCATTTATATGATAGCCATATGATGGCACAATATAAAGGAGCCGGTTTTGGTGAGCTAAGTCCACATCCTTTTGCGGTTGCAGATGCAGCATATAGGTAATTTCATTCTTTTTGTGCAAGCAGTTCATTTAATTAAATTGCAAGTCTGACTTTATAAATTATTATGGATTTAGACTTATGATTAATGAGGGGATCAGCCAGTCAATATTGGTTAGTGGTGAAAGTGGGGCAGGGAAAACAGAAAGCACCAAGTTACTCATGCGCTATCTAGCTTACATGGGAGGGAGAGCCAATAATGCTGCCGAAGGTAGAACAGTTGAGCAGAAAGTTCTGGAGGTAAGGGAGTTAGTCCTTTGTAGATTTGTTTTTCGGCTTGCTGGTTGGCGACCATAAATTTTATATATGTTGTTTATTACTTTTACTAGTGTTTGAAATTTTAAATCCTTTCCTTATATCCACTTAACTGGCCTTTTTCCCCCCTTTCCCTTTGACAGTCCAATCCTGTTCTAGAAGCCTTTGGCAATGCAAAAACTGTTAGAAACAATAATTCAAGGTGAGAAGTTATAGTAAGTTTTCTTCCCTGTATTAGTTGTATTACAAAATTTTGCTCCTGTCTTATTTTGTACTATTTTATCACCTGTGACTTCTGCAGTCGTTTTGGTAAGTTTGTGGAGATTCAATTTGACCAGAGTGGAAGAATTTCTGGGGCTGCTATCAGAACTTATCTTCTGGAAAGATCACGTGTTTGCCAGGTGTCAGATCCAGAGAGGAACTATCACTGTTTCTATATGCTCTGTGCTGCACCTCCAGAGGTAAATTGGTGTCTTTTGCATAGAGTAAAGATTAGATTGACAGAAAGATTTGAAAAATCAATTTATAATATAAAAATCTTGAACCCACTTTACTTTCTTTTTTCAGGATTTAATTATAAATGATCATGAAATTGTTTATTTGCTTTTGGCAGGATATTCAGAAGTATAAATTAGGAAATCCTAGAGAATTTCATTATCTGAATCAATCAAATTGCTTTGAGTTGGAAGGGGTTGATGAGTTAAAAGAATATCGTGATACTAGGAGAGCAATGGATGTTGTTGGAATAAGTTCTGAGGAGCAGGTATTTTATTGGGAGTTTCTGCAAGTTTGAATGTATTCTTAAATATAATCTGTTTCAATGCTTTGATTTTTTGTTTTCCTCTCCATCACTGTGTAGGAAGCAATATTTCGAGTGGTTGCTGCAGTTTTGCATCTTGGAAACATTGAATTTACAAAAGGGAAAGAAGTGGATTCATCTGTGCCCAAAGATGAAAAATCTTGGTTCCATCTACATACTGCTGCCGAACTTTTCATGTGTGCATCAAACTTGCGTTTGTTAAAATATGATCTTGTAGTGGACTTGTGTTTTGTATTCTTTCCATATGACTTCCTTGGCTTAAAATATTTTTCAGGTGTGATGCAAAGGCACTTGAAGATTCTCTTTGCAAGCGTGTAATTGTTACTCGGGATGAAACTATAACAAAATGGCTGGATCCAGAATCTGCTGCACTCAGCAGAGATGCTTTGGCTAAGATTGTGTACACGAGGTTGTTTGATTGGTAAGCCTGTGAGGGGATTGCTTGAAGATGAAGTTTGAATCCTAAGATAGATTTACTGGCAAATTTTATCAATATTTGCTCCTGGTTCCGCTTCTGTAAATTTCTTTCATCTTTTGCAGGTTGGTGGATAAAATTAATAATTCAATTGGACAAGACCCTGATTCAAAGTCCTTAATTGGTGTGCTGGATATTTATGGTTTTGAGAGTTTCAAGACTAACAGGTGCATTACTGGTATTCCTTTTGTTCTGTAATTAACTAGGGTTGATCTCATTGAGTGATCATCAAAGAAAGGTATATGGGAAGTGCAATTTGTAGTCCACTCCATGTCATTATTTACCATTGTCACTACTAAACAATTGATAGGGGCATTGTTTTACCATATTGCTCCAATCCATATTGTCACCTTAAAATATCTAAGTATGTTGCTGATTAAACTCAATTCTGATGAAATTTTTTAACATGGTTGTCAATAGTGGTAGTTTATAGAAATTTATTAATACCTGGTTGTTCTTGTACATTTTCAGTTTTGAGCAATTTTGTATCAATTTGACCAATGAAAAACTTCAGCAACATTTTAATCAGGTTTGTTTGTAAAGAAAGATTATGTTCTTAATGATTGCTGCCATCTCTTTCTTGTATATTTGATGATGATACTTGTTAGTTTTACTTATTTTATATGTGCTCTTGCATTGCTCAAAATACTTCATCTGCAGCATGTTTTCAAAATGGAGCAAGAAGAATACAAAAAAGAGGAGATTGATTGGAGTTACATTGAGTTCGTTGATAATCAAGATATTCTGGATCTCATTGAAAAGGTTTTTCCTTCTCACTCCGCAATCATTCACTTGTTTTGCTTTATCTCTTGTACCAATCCTTTATATAAGGTGTTCCTTTCTTTTAAAATACATGGATTAAATGTAAAGGATATAGGTTATATTTGGTAGGTTCACAGGCCCACTTTATTATGTGGCTGTACGTAGAAGTGACTAGCTTTCATACTGGTTTGTGCTAGAAGGATGTTGTGCCATAAAGCAATTTCATTGATCACTAATGGTGACTTAAAGATTCTGTAGCTTAACAAAGTCTTGACATGCATTAGTATGCCTATCATTTCTTTTAAATTATAAAAAAAAAACGACAAAACATATGAATATTAAATTTCAAATAATTACACTTTGACAATAACAATTTAATTTTTTATAATGTTATAAAATTTTAAATGACTAATCACTATAATTATATTTTCCTTTAGATTTATATTGTTATTTTGAAGACAAACATTTTACCGGATTTATGTAGAAGATAAGGGATAAAAGATATCTGGAGATTCATTTTTACTGGAAAACGAAATTTAGATGCTTTCAAGAATGTACACAGGTCGAGTGTTATGATGGGTGGGGAGGGATAATGGGTTGACGACGAAATAGGAGTAAGTTAGTGTTTTTTCCTAACCTTTTATGGGTTTTGCTTAAATTAGTTTCACAAGGAAACTAAAGCTAGATTTTTTCTTCTCCTGTATGTTCAAAATGGAGGGAATTGTGACACCCTTCTACCCAAAACATTTATGTTAAATAAATAATAATTATGAAAAATAAAATGTAAGTGATTCACATATATTAATTTTTTGTATAACGCTCATATAAAAAAAAGTTTAGAATACAAAAAGTTGCTAATAATAAAAACCACAATAAAATTAAAAAAAAAACTGCTCAAATTGAAACTAAAATAAATGACTAATTAGAATATCCCATAAAATAAAAATAGAGGATGCCTAAACTTTTTCACTGCCACTTCCTCCTTGTCAAACTCTTGTTCCTCTTTAAGGGCGTTCAACTGAGACAAACAACATAACCAACAGAGTGAGAAATATCTCTCACTTATATAAAAGACATAAGATGGTTGGGCTAAATCAAAACACACCAATACATTATCGATCATAAACTCTTTGTATTTTCTCAAAGATAGTAATGCTCTTATCTCTAAATGCATGTGATACTATTGCATGAAACATTCATGTATGAAGTATTTTAGGAGTACATCAACCTGATCATTTTAAAAGAAATCCCCACAATCCATTCTCAACTAGATTGTAATCAATCAAGAGCTAGTCAATGTAGTATAATTGGCCATGTTGGTCCCTTATCCCCACTAATAGACAAGAGGTTCCTTGACATGAACATCCAAGGCTAAGGTAGAAAACCATAGAGGCCCTCATGTAAAGATTAGCTTCTCTTTAAAAGGATGAATAAATGAAGCACAAATCACAATACACAAATGCAGAACACGTTGTATATCTTAAGTGGCCAAGCACGATTTAGATTTGTACATTGTTAAGCCATTGCTTATACTTCTCAAATGACAAATATTAGCATTACATGGATCTTCACTCTACCTAGTCAGTGCTTAAACTTCTCAAAACACACAAGTATTAAGTTTAATCTCAAATTCTCATAGGACAAGATATTATTCATATAGGTAATTCACCATCACACATCTCAATTTATTCATTTTTAAACGTTTACACATGTAAGTTTTACTTGTGAAAATTACCATGCTATTTTGTAAGTTTTAGGTATTATCTCTATTATTTTCTATTATCCTTTGATAACCTTTGGTTGGTGTAAAGATGATATCGTTATATTAATCATATAAAGTTGCTTCATATCTTTTTGAAAGGTAATAGAACTATCTACAACTTTTATGTTGACTTTAAAATCTAGTTCAATTGTTTATTGTTAAGGTTCCAACATAAAACTAATTGGTAATATGTGAAGTAACCTAACAGACATTTAAACCATACCACATTATATGAGACAAGCAATGTGAGATGCCTCCTCCAACGAAGCTTGCCAGATCAGGCAAAGGGTATTTTAAGAGTAACTTTTGGCCCAAGACAATAAGTGAAAAGAAGTTAGGTTTTGACTTTAATATCATGTTAAAGTTCTAACATAAAACCAATTGACAATATGTGAAATAGTTTAATAGGTATTTAAACCATACCATATTATATGAGGCTGGCGATATTGAACTTCCAACATTTACTATGGCTAAAATAAGTAAAAAAGATAAACTTTTATTGTAATTCTTACGGCTTGACCTTTACTCACTATGATGATCACACCTTGAGTTTTAGATATTACTTTTTAGTTAAACCAACGCCATTAGTTATGTAACATCTAGGACTAAAACTTTCATTATTTTTTTTTCTTGAACAGTACAAAGTGTGCTTAAAACAAGTTCATAAACTCTAATACTCTCTCCACACGCCTCTCACCCCCTTCTGACTGTAACCACACTTATGTGGGTGAACATTTGATATATTTTCTTTTCCAACATGCTTCTCATACCATCATAAGTGCGGCCACATCACTTTGAGTGTATCCTCATTATAATTCTCACATATATCTTAATGATAAATTTAAACTCCAAAAACCGTAATTCCTTCAAATATTATCAAAGACAATATTTTATATAAATTAATCAATTTTCATACCCATTTATTAATTGTTCTTTCTAATCTTGATTCATCAATTAGAACCCAAAATCCTATTTGATCAATCAGAGCTCTATTATTTTACAACATTTTATAGAGTACAATGTAAATAAATTAGATCCAAAATTCTAATTGGCACAATTTACACTCAAACAATGAGCACAATATAGATTAATTTAAATCTTAAGAGCACAATTTACATAATAGATCAATTATCAATTTCATAATATATCAATTTCATAATAGGAATAATTTGAAAACAGCTGTTGATATGATTATGTGGTCATATCATATCAAACTCATGCTATGATATTTGATGGTCAACATAAAAAGATCAGATTTATTTCTCTTTGATGTTAAAAATGAAAACATTAATGTTGTCACTTTATCTATTAACAGTAGATTTTGAAAACAAGATTAATATAAAAGGGGAAACAAAATGATGAATACCATGAAAGTTGAAAATATATTTTCATGTTTTGTGTAGGCAAATTGATGTTAATACTTTGGCATTGTTATTAATGGTGCTATGATTTGTCATTTTTAGATTTATTATTTTATCAATATTTGCTTTGTATAATTTTCAGAAACCTGGAGGCATTATTGCTCTTCTTGATGAGGCTTGGTAAGTATACTTTGTACTGTACCTTTGAATTGGTATTGTGGTTTAATATCTCAATACTGCTGGCTGAATTCATTCATTTTATTCTGCCATTATTTTCTTAACTGTTTTGGTTGATGCTCAGATAAGCTATATGTGTGTTCATTTTGCAGTATGTTTCCAAGATCAACCCATGAAACTTTTGCCCAAAAGCTGTATCAGACATTCAAAAACCATAAAAGGTTCAGCAAGCCCAAATTGTCACATAGTGACTTCACAATTTGCCATTATGCGGGTGATGTAAGTTGGAATATTAACACCTTTTGTTTCTGCATATAATAAACAGAATTCTTGATGTGATCTGCGTCTATTTTAGGTCACTTACCAAACTGAGTTGTTCCTCGACAAGAACAAAGATTATGTTGTTGCAGAACACCAGGCACTTCTGTATGCCTCCAAATGCCCCTTTGTGTCCGGTTTGTTCCCCCCTTCACCTGAGGAATCATCCAAACAATCAAAGTTTTCTTCTATAGGTTCCAGGTTTAAGGTTGTTTTTTATTCACCATTATATAATGATGCATGATTAATTTTTTCCTTAACCTCTGTAGTTTTGAAATCCTTCATATTTCATGCAGCAACAATTGCAAGCACTACTTCAAACACTCAGTGCCACTGAACCACACTACATTCGTTGTGTTAAACCCAATAATCTTCTTAAGCCCGCAATTTTTGAGAACAAAAATGTTTTGCAGCAATTGCGATGTGGGGTAAGACTTGCTTTTTTGCCTGTTTTGGAACATGTAGTATATACCTTGCATGTGTGAGTATATACTGACTACATAGTAAATCCTGCTGTAGGGAGTTATGGAGGCAATTAGGATAAGTTGTGCCGGTTATCCCACTAGGAAAACATTTGATGAATTTGTAGATCGATTTGGACTTCTTGCACCTGAAGCTTTGGACGGGAGGTATCTAAGTTGTTAATTTTCTTTCAGGCCCAGTAGTTTTAAATTTTAAAAACCTGATTTATTTCATGATTTACTTGTGTTAGTTCTGATGAAGTCACTGCTTGCAAGAGGATTCTGGAGAAGGTTGGACTTAAGGGCTATCAGGTAACTATTTCCATGTGTTCAGACCCTTAATTCTTTTAGAGACTGTCTTCAATTTGAGTTTGATCAATAGAG